GCTGAATAACATTTCCTTCTCAATCATCCTCAAGTGCTGCCTTCACAGAGTTCACTAGTTTGCAGAGTTATCTAGTTCAGTGGCACCCTGACCTGGACGTCCCATGCTAGCCCGATCTCATCAGATCTCAGAAGCTAGCTGGGTCAGCCCTGCTTAGCAGTGTTCCCTCTAAGCTGAGTTAGTGTGAGCTAGCTCACAGTTTTTTAGCCTCCGGCTCACACATTTTTGTCTTAGCTCAGGAAGGACGGCTCCAGAGCAGACTAATTTATGCAGTAGCCAAATTGCTCGCTCGCAACTTTAAAGTCAGTAGCTCACAAAGTAGAATTTTTGCTCACAAGACTCCACAGCTTAGAGGGAGCATTGCTGGTTAGGACTTGGATGGGAAACCTCCAAGGAAAACCAGGGCTGCTATGCAGTGGCAGGCAATGGCAAACCAGCTCTTTTCGTCTCATGCCTGGCAAGCCCTATAGGGTTACCATAAGCCAGCTGTGACCTGACAGCAATTTCCACCACCAGTTCAGTTGCTATCAAACTTTGCTAAATCTTTTCAAGTTGTGGAAGTGAGATAGATCTAATGTACAACTTCTTAAGACTGACCAAAATTAAGTACTCTAACAGAAGAAGAAGAAGAAGAGGGGGAGGGGAGGAGATTGGATTTATACCCCGCCCTTCACTACCCAAGGGAGTCTCAGAGTGGCTTACAAACTCCTTTCCCTTCCCCTCCCCACGACAGACACCCTGTGAGGGAGATGAGGCTGAGAGAGCTCTTGAGAGAACTGCTCCTGAGAGAACAGGTCTGAAAGAACTTGTGACTGACCCAAGGTCACACCAGCAGCTGCATGTGGAGGAGTGGGGAATCAAACCTGGCTCTCCCAGATTAGTGTCCATGCTCCTAACCACTGCACCAAACTGCACATTCTTGCCCTAGGTTCCAGGAAAGGCAGATAAAAATGCACAGGAAAAGACTATCCTGAACCACCATGTGCTTTACTGTTCAAAATGAACTTTTCATGAGAACAGCACATTCTCCCGTTGACCCCTAACCTTCGGTACGTGTAGCCAAGAGCCATGCAAGCTACACAAGCTCCAGCCTCTTCAGGCCAGTAAGACACAGGCAAAAATGGAAAGAGGTTCAAACACAACACATGCTTCTTAAATAAAGGGACACTCTACTTTGATCGCATACACACACACACAAAACACGAGAGTTGAAAGAACTGAAGACCAGCTGTGAGAACACATGCCCCTCCTCCCTCCATTCTTCACCTCTTGGAAGTCATCATTCTTCACCTTCCATATATTAACCATGGATGTGCCACAGATGCACTGCTTCAAATACACATCTCTCCTTATATATAATTGAATAGTGGGTGCCAAAGTTCTAATTCTAAAATGCACTCCCTTAGTGTATGGCTGATGGCACTGCTCCTCAGCATATATCGCCACCAATCAGAAGGCAAAGCCCGGGTCCCGCCCACACCACAACTGCTGCGACAACCTGGTCTTTTGCATATGGAAGCTGATTGGACTTCAGTCCATTCCACACCTCAAACTCCCCCCCCCCCGCAAGGCAGTTGGAATTTTCAGTTGCATAACATACCTCATAGGGGAGAGGAGAATGGGTAACAATCGTTACCACTCTCCAGGTGAGGGCTACAGATAACTCAAACATACAAATGCTCTTCAGGTAGCAGAGATCAGTCCCTCTGGAGAAAACAGTGGACTCTGTCATTAAACCCTGCTGAGGTCGCCACAGGAAACTGACACTGTTTGCCCAAAGCCAGAGCACTCTCCCAGAGCCTCTTTCTAGATCCCGTTGTATTTATTTCCGCAACGGGCCTTATTTCTAGTCCTTAATAAACCGGAGACTGTAATCCCAATTTGTAAGGGTTGGGTGGAGACTAGAATCACATTACTGTCAGACCACACCAGTGCAAAAATAACACGAAACCAAGGGGAACTTGGGTGGGGGG